AAGGAACAAATCTGTCCGCACATGCACAAACGATTGTAAATTTAAAGCTTTAATTCTCAACTAGGGCGCAATGCCTAAAGTTCCAATTCAATGTGAATAGTTTTTCAAAGGAGCTCTTATAACAGACCTGCCTTTGGCTCAATCAGTCGAGTGAAGCGCCTCACCCAACACCTCCCCTTTTCTGTACATTCAAAGGAAGGTGTTTAGTGCTGTGCTCTCCTTTTCTTTCATCCATTCCCCATCCTTGTGGCTTTCATTTCACTTTTAAATTAGGGCCAGCTGCAACTAAGCACATGAGCGCGGCGCGGGTTATGGTATTGCGGTCCCACAGCGAATTTCGCAGCCGCCCCTCAGTTTATAAATGGCACCTTTGCCCAGTACGAGCGTGCATTCGCGAAATTCAGGCAGAAGTTCTGTCACCACTGCAAAACAGCACCCTTCGCGGATAAGACCGAGAATTATCGGTCCATTTGCTTGAGCTTCACTTTAGGGTTATTCCAACACTGTAAATTTGTTGACCATAATTTCCCAGTATAGTTTCTTAAAATCACTATGGTCAGCTTAGTAACATGATCTACTAGAGCGATATGTGATCATGCACCTGTGGTGTTGAATATAACTCTTCATGAACTCATTCAGAAAGGCCAAAAATAGTGCGGAGAAACCTGTATATTTTCAGGACTATCACAACATAGAGCACACATAGGTTATTCAACAGATACGGTATCTCAATCGCAAGTAAGTAGCCCTCAATGCCATGCATGAAGAGTGCAAAACAGTGCTACTCCTCACGAAACACCTTACCCTGGATGAAGCCCTAAGCGAATGTTACAACGATTGTAACGCAGTAGTCATTAAACTGGAGCTTTGACGCATGTAAAGAATCAGTGCGCTCAATCCACAACTCAGGGGAATGAATCAATGAGTAACAAAAGCACATGATGCAAGAAAGTGTGAAAATAAGTAAAAAGTGCCCGCATCACAATTTAGACACACCTCCATATTGTAAGGACTGCATCTAGTACTGTCGGACTCAACGACGTGAACATCAAAGTCACTCGGTGATAAGGTTGATGACAACTGCAATGCCAGTGTGTGGCTATCTCCTATTGGTTCACCTGAACATTATCCAGCTGTAGCACAAATTAGGCAGTAACAACGACAACATGAATTTGGAGCGGTATTCATCGTATCGATTGATGAACATTCTTTTTACTCCTCTAACAGACAACAAGAAAATTCCTAATTCAGGTTCTGATAAAAAAAAATTTCCTCGTACGAGTCTCGTCGACGAGTAAAAGAATTGTTACAGCTTACATTTTCATCACTGCTATATAAGTGAGGAAAATACATGAGGAATTCATAGCTATGAGGAATTCATAGCTAAGGGAGCTGAGAGCAAATTATAGAAAGCAATCGGTGAATCCGGTTGTTGGATAAAAGGTACAGTTTAGGAAAGTTTTGCGGTACCCTTTTTAAGTTGAAAAGTTTGAGTGTTCGCGGGGAGATTAAAGCAGGGATGAAAAAAAGCGAGGAAACTCGCAGAATTCGAGGGATATAAGGCTTCCTAGAAGTAGTGAAAATGAGATGTGAAAAGTGCGCGAGATCACCATAGACGGGGGATGGTCACCTCGTGCGTCCGAGGACGCGCGCGGCAAATTGCGCGGCGAAGTTCGTGACGATTTGTACGACTGGCGCCAATTTTCGGGGCACAAACTTGAAGTAGTTTAGTAGGGTCAGATCATCCTTCTAATCTACTCTACTTCAAATTTGGGCAACAATGATGAACGCCACATCCGTCTAAATCGCACCGAACTTCGCCGCGCAGTTTGCCGCGCGCGTCCTCGGACGCACCAGGTGACACACACTCCCATGGACGAAGAGATGCAGTCGTGTGCTATTGCGTAAAGACTAGCTACAACAAGCCAAAAATTGCCTTCCACTGTTGACGTGGGTCGTATTCTTAGAGGCCACAGGTTCGTCCTAGTTGAAAAATTTAGGAACCACTGTTACCGTGAACTACGTCTTTAAGCCTATACTCCTACCTAATTTGGAAGCTATGGATTCGAATTAACATTTGTCGCGCACGCCCCGCTCCCTTTGAGCATAATCTGGTCGTGCCACCAACATTGAGCATTCTCATCCTGTCTCTTGCAGTCCTGCCAAACTTAACCGCTCTAGACCGAAATTGACGTTTTTGCGCAAGCCCCGCCCCTGTGGGCGGAGCCACCTCTCTCACCACTCACTGTCACCTACCATAAGTGCTCCCATCCTGTTTTCTTTACTCCTACCAGATTTGATTGCTCTAGGTCTATGGGACAGGAGTTATGAATTTCCGATCAGACAAACACACACACCATACACATTTAATACAACACACATACAACACACACAAACACACAACACACACAACACACTACACTCACAACACACGCAATACACAACACACACACAATACATTCCAGACACACACACTTAGCGGATTATATAAACAGGGTAAAGTATAGACACCTCAGAGCACATCTCGCGGCACGTTAGATAGCCTAGAAAAATGTCAGCCTATCTCCTTCGGGATGACGGCCATTCACGAAGGCTCAGAAAACCCAATATCAGAGCGATTTTCCAAACTAGGAAGACTATGAAATTCTTCTGATGATTGTGTCACCAAAGTGAAGTTCAGAAGTACTTCGAGAGTTAATCAAACTGCATATCGTTCGATAAAGATCATGTCACAGCACCACTCCCTTCGCAATGCAATGTCTCAAAACATGAGGATAGTTATTGCGTCGCTTAGAGGAGGCTAGCATGCTAATAGAATCAGCTGAAACTGAAACGTGACAAGGCATACTGATATTCCAAGGTCCTAAAGGACCACAAAAATCAGGGAATTTTAAAACAAGTCTTTCAAGAACATCAAAATGCCATTGGCACATATTATATGCAACATTCAGTCGTGTGGCGCCCTTATAATACAGCGCCATTGAGAGGCGAACCATTTGTAAAAGAAATTCATGATATTGTCATTTCAAGCCGCTCCAGCAAAGTTTCGTTACTCTGCTGCATTGAGGCCGTGCCCGAAGTCTCGAGCCGCTCTCTCAGGG